TGTAGAGACACAAACAAGAGACGTAAATTACTGGATTCACGCAAGGAATTGCTCTGCGCTTAACATTTGATCTTTGACAATCTCGTGCGAGTGACAGCTAATAAGAATTTACTGGCCATGACTTAGTAATAACGGGTCTAGGATTGATTTGGGATTAGTCATGTTGCTTGCAGCGTCACACGGTTGCAAATTAAATCTGAATCAAAAAGGTTTATTCACCGATTCTTATTGCATTGGATAATATCAATGTATGTCTGTATGTATGTATGTATGTATGTATGTATGTATGTATGTATGTATGTATGTATGTATGTATGTTATATGTATGGTATGTATGTATGGTATGTATGTATGTATGTATTATGTATGTATGTATGTATGTATGTATGTATGTATGTATGTATGCTATGTTATGTATGTATGTCATGTATGTATGCTATAGTATGTATTATGTATGTATGTATGTATGTATGTATGTTGATGTATGTATGTATGTATGTATGTATGTATGTATGTATGTATGTATGTACAGTACGTAGCGTACGTACGTACGTACGTACGTACGCTACGTAGCGTATGTATGTATGTATGTAATGTATGTACGTACGGTACGTACGTACTTACGTACGTACGTAACGTACGTAGTTATGTAGCGTATGTACGTATGCTATGTATGTATTATGTATGTATCGTATGTATGTATGTATGTATGAGTATGTATGTATGTATGTATGTATGTATGTATGTATGTATGTATGTATGTATGTATGTATGTATGTATGTTATGTATGCGTATGTATGTATGTATGTATGTATGTATGTATGTATGTATGTATGTATCTATTTTGTGTATGTATGTATCTAGACGCGTACATACAACACACGTCTCTCTATTATGTACTCTTGATATTATCGCACCATCCGGCGTCGTTTGTTCAAATTCAATCGGTCATAGTCTTCTTCAGCCCGTTACAATATTACTGCGATTTAACCGCATGTGATAAATTGCTAAAGGGACCGGGAACTCGATTTCCATGAAAGTCAAAAGTTTAATTCCTCTCATTCTTTTCTCGCGCTCTTTATCTTCTTCTGTCTTCTACTACGTCTGTCTCCCTCCCCCCCCCCAAGTATCACTGTGACTTCTACGCCCACCCCATGGCAAAATCGGACCTAGTCATATTATTTATACTAATCAAGTAGACAATCGATTCTTGAAAGTTGAAGTGAACGCCTCACGCGTGCGCACAGTGAGGGACATTACTGACGCAGACGACAAAGTATGCGCAGATCAGCGCTGCGCCGCGCGTGTAGGTGTCTGGTTATTGGTCAATGCTTCCAACCGCCGGTCGCATCGTGGACTATATATAGGCACCTGACGGGAGCCGTATCCCTACATTCGAAGACCTGCACGCTAGAAGAACGATCGAACGAAATCGACCCGAGAAGGATTTCCAGCACACGACAAAGGTAAGCTGACACAACATCTATCTATCTCCACACGAGTCAATCACCCATTGATATTGCTATTTGTGCGAGTTTGTCTATGCCTGTGTCTGTGAGTGCTATTGCATGAAGTTCAGTCTATCGGGATTAAAAACGTCAATTAAAGCACTGTGATGCAACCAATGTTCTTGGGCTTAAATTAAGCGGGTCTTAACTGAAACATTGAAAAGCGACTACTGAGTTATTGGTATACACGCTAATGTTTCAATCGCGCTTTCGTTAATATATAGGTGTGTATACATCAGACATTTTATATACATCTTTGATTAAAATGACAAGTGAAATAGTACGTAAGTGTAGTAGAACCGTTTAGACAAATCATATCTCAGTGCACGCGCAGCGTTAGGTTTACATTATTTTCCGAAGGATTCTATAGTTATGTTATTAAAATTTAGCAGGGAAATCCAATGAAAGGCGATAGTCTCTTATCGGGTTATATACGCCTATTTGTCAATGCGTAGCTGTCGAGACCCCGACGCCGCTCGCATTAACAATTGAAGCTGGTCTATTCTCTGTATGATTCGATCTATGTTCGTCTTCGCGCCTCCATTTACGCTTCATTCATTCGGGCGAGGTTTATCATCAGAGAGCGTCTGGCTCGTCATGCGACGTGTGTCTTTACATCACACCGTCAAATAAGCTCTTGTCGCTTCACGATCTGCCCCCAAAGGAATATATAGATATCGCCGCGAAGCCAAACGATTTTACGAAGAATTGGTATTCATATCGCATTTCGCAGGCATTGTATGCGGCACATCGCGTGTTTGCTGTCCTTGCTATTTCGATTGACGGTCGTTTGGCTTGGCACGTAGTCAAATACAGAAGAAGAGATGAAATTTCTATTACGAAATTCCAATTTCGATCTGATCATTGCACAAGTATATCCAGCGGGCTGCGTGTTGAAGAAATTGAGAGCTCGGACCAAATCATTGCGTTTGGCCCGTGTTTGGCGCGCGGGTTCATCTGAATTCGTTTTCATCGCTTTAAGCGGTAAGAAATTTGGTGGGTTTGCTTAAATCGCATATCGGTTCAACCGCGAGAAAACATGAGGATTTGTACTGTCTATCTATCAATGAAATAATTGCTTCTTTCCTGGGTTTATGATTGTTAGACGTAAAAACGCATTGTCATTTCAACTATGTGTGTACGAATTGTTTCTTTATATCACATAGCATTCGTAAGATGTGCATATATATATATATATATATATATATATGTATATATATATATATCGCGCGTTACGAATACTAAGGTGGTTCTTGGTTGATGTTTTAACGTATAATTTTATATTACAGGGGCGATAGGCGGCACGACTATTAATGGAGCTCATCAAGTCAGCAATGTCCGTACTGAAACACATATAAACACACCCGCTTCACAGTACCAATCACATTGACCCGTCTCCTAATTCACGGGCAAGTCGTACAGAATTTGGTCCAGCCATCGCCATCCTCGCCATCGTCTAATGTCACTGCTGTTGCTGAACGATCGTCACTATCGTCATCGTCATTCCGCGAGAACCGTCTCCAGAAACCTTTCTTCGGCGTCAGCGGTTATTTCCAGACGCTATACATATTAGTATTGATGTATGGTTAAAACTCGATCGATACATATTCTGCTCTGCACGATCTAGGCGAGCCGGCAGCGACAACAGCCGCGCGACTGTCATGCCAAAGATCGTGGTTTCATTCCGATAATCGCTCACGTTGCAATTAATGATATGCACGATATATGGCGGGTATTGCACGTTGACTCTACTCTCCCGCGTATCCGGTCACCTTGACACTAAGATCACACACGGGCAGCGCACCTTCAGTATATAGCAGCAGTAATGCTTTTATAGCGTTAGAAACGATTGACTAAATACTCGTGTTAAAACCACTTTGATGCGAATTGTCTGTGCGATGTTGACGTTTGTTCGTTAGCATCAGGGAATTAATCTGTCAAAAGCCTATGGCGTATCTGTTACGGACCGTAGCGCTAACGGTAATATATTATTTATTGGAAAATAAAGTCTCATAATATCACATAATATGAGAATCATTAATATAATAATATATTTTTGACTACATTACAATAAACAGATTCATATACAAGTGGCCTTGCATTTGTTTCGATTTTATGTAAACTTGTCACTTCCTCGAGTTCCATCTCAGTGCACCATCTCATAATTAAAAGCTTACTCAGAACAGCATACCTTAAGATTTTTAGATGAGATTAGATTAGTAGGATGTAAACTCGAACAGAAACAAAGATTTACGCCAATGTAAACACGGCAAGATGGCGGAGAGATGGCCAGTAATATCGTGTTCGATGTCTTGCACTTTAAAGCTTGCACTTTATACCTCAGTAAAGCTTTTCGTTGCCATTCCTGCAAAAAGCGTACCTTCTCTGTAATTATATAACAATCCAACCATTATAAATTTTCATTAGGCTTCCTGAATAATTGATGTAACGCGGCAATAATCAGTGACAGGTGATTGACTGCGAGCGATCGCTTCAGCAATGCATAGTTCGGATGACACGGGTCACGAGCACCTACGCCTTTGGCGCCTACCGCGGGTTTACATATACGCCCACGCCCAATTCCCTATACGTTACGATGAAAGCCCAAGCCGTGGATTATTTACCACGGCTCTCTATGTAAAAGCACAGGGACAAACGTTGCTTAGATTTCGGTCGTCGTCAGCTTGCACGGTCAACGTAAATCGCGCGCACAGCGCTCACGTGTAGCTGGCGGTAAATGTTAGAAGTAGAACACGGCTGCGTGGCGATGCGCTGGCACGGAGAGGCTTAAATAATTAAACGCGAGCACCTATTTTCTTTCCTCTCGTAAGAAGGTATTATTGTCTCTGAATACAGCAGCAACGCGTGCGTGTTTACCTTACTCTAAACCAGCGCCGTATGATTGATGATCGGAAGCTAAGAGTGAGTAGGCATATTCGTGCTGAAGACGTTGAATGTCGCATAGAAAATCAACAGCTATTATTTTACGAAACAAAAACATTGCTTTTACGCTTACAACCGTGTCAGGTTGGTGCCCCTGCATTCTACATACCCTAGTATAAATATAGTATTTATTATATATTTTATTAATTATCATAACATATATCATATTATATTATATTATATATTATATATATTTAATAATAATAATTATCCTTGTCAGTGGTAACCGCTGTTTGCGTCTCTCTAAAGTTGAGAGTAGCTGTTCAGCCAAGGGTATATTCCGTACGTCGCTATCTTTTGCAAGTTTAGTAGTCCCGGGTGATTCTGACTTCACACTCTCGTCTGACGAATCACAACGTCTGTTTAAAACAAATCATTTCACTCCAACAAAGGATATTTATGGTAAATTTCTAAACGATCCGATGGTGCCCAATTGATATGGGAGAATGTGACAAGTTAGTTATCGGAATGGATTTCACATAATCGCTCTAATTACCTATCTGCATGAATACGGAATATCGGTGACTTTGATCTTTCTTTACCGCTAACGGTTACTTATAACAGCAGATTTTGTCGATTTGGTTTCGTTTTACTGGTTACTCCCATTCGGGTTCTATAAGGTTTTCGATATATGTTAAATATATATATTTTATATCTATGAGCTTCTCCTATGAGACATCCACTATTCGCCAGTTGACTGTTGCGTGACTACGACGCACGTTCTCGCCCGACGTGATCACGATGTTCTCAGCAGGTGTTTGCCATTATCCTTGTCAGTGGTAAACGCTGTTTGCGTCTTTCTAAAGTTGAGAGTAGCTGTTCAGCCAAGGGTATATTCCGTACGTCGCTATCTTTTGCACGTTTAGTAGTCCCGGATGATTCTGACTCCACACTCTCGTCTGACGAATCACAACGTCTGTTTGAAACAAATCATTTCACTCCAACAAAGGATATTTATGGTAAATTTCGAAACGATCCGATGGTGCCCAATTGATATGGGAGAATGTGACAAGTTAGTTATCGGAATGGGTTTCACATAATCGCTCTAATTACGTATCTGCATGAATACGGAATATCGGTGACTTTGATCTTTTTTATACCGCTAACGGTTACTTATAACAGCAGATTTTGCCGATTTGGTTTCGTTTTACTGGTTACTCCCATTCGGGTTCTATAAGGTTTTCGATATGTGTTTAATATATATATTTTATATCTATGAGCTTCTCCTATGAGACATCCACTATTCTCCAGTTGACTGCAGCATGAAATAATAGTTCTGATGGCGGGTTATCGGTGGTTGTGTAACGTCTTACCAGTGCAGTGCAAAAGCGAGCGCTCTGATATTACTAGACTACTTGTGATCGCGATTAAGAGATTGACCGGTAATCCTGGCGTAGCTATGGTGACGAGGGATTCTCTAGTAGAGTGGCGTTTCGTGTTCGTTACTACGACGCACGTTCTCGCCCGACGTGATCACGATGTTCTCAGCAGGTGTTTGCCATTATCCTTGTCAGTGGTAACCGCTGTTTGCGTCTCTCTAAAGTTGAGAGTAGCTGTTCAGCCAAGGGTATATTCCGTACGTCGCTATCTTTTGCAAGTTTAGTAGTCCCGGGTGATTCTGACTCCACACTCTCGTTTGACGAATCACAACGTCTGTCTGGATGACTCCATTACTCTTAAAGTGCTATCTTTGTTAGCGAGCCAATGCGTCGCATTAAGAATCACCTACTAACGCACTGACTCCGGAAGCGCGTGACAGAGTCCGCGTCCGCTAAACGCTGGTGTGAATCCAAACGGAAAACGCGGATTAGGGCGATAGCAGTGTGAATTCACACGGAAAACGCGGATAACGGATATAGGTGAGCAAACGACTTCGGAAAACATGCGAGAAAATGCGGATAGCGACAATATGGCAGCAACCCGCTAAGGCAAGCGCGGATAGCGGTTACATGCTGAAAACTCGTCGGAAAACGCGGATAGCGGTTATACAACGCGTGGCTCGCGGAAGAATTTGTACAGTTATATTCGTCAGTAAAGCAAGTAGGAAAACGCGGATAGCAGCGACAACGGTCTTGGCCTGAAGGGAAAACACTGATGCAGCCGCTAATGGCGTATATTTAAATTAAATACGCTGGCTACATAAATCCATCGTTCCGCTTCGATTCCTTTATATCAGCAGGTAGTAACAGCCGGTCTCTCACTCACAATAGTTTACGGGAACCCAACAGGCTAGTAATTTTCTCTGAATTATATATATACCTATGTTTATTTATTTATAAATGATTTCATACATTAAAATCTTAATATATTACTGCCCCCCCCCCGCTGATTTGTTACGCTGTTATAATTATCTGAGTGAGCGCTCGCATTTTATCGTAGCAACGCCCGGGGATGACAACCCGATCTGATATCATGCGTGCGTGACCGTATATCTTATTTGACATTAATATCGCAGTACACAATTGCTGATATACTGCGCAAGCCCTCCTAAAATTTATCCGGCATGTGCGTTTGCGAGTACGTGTGAGTGTCGTTCCCCGTGTTACTTGCGTAGCTTCAAAGGTGCATTTACTACTGGCCATACTGATCGGGCGATCGACGGCTAGAGGCAGTGCAGCATAGTGACTGGCCGACAGATCTGGAGACTTTCCGTCTGTTTGATAGACAGGCCGACCAACTCGTGCAGTCTTACGAGGTAGAAATTTCCAATTTTGTCGAGCAAAATGCTACGATGATCTAAAAGTGTTATCTTGTATCCCTGTATGAATTTCACGAGAGCACCCCGCGTGTGGGTGCTCGAGTGGCCACTACTAGTGCACAACAGCGTATGCGCAAGTCTCGCCCAATACCATCATATAGAGTTGGCTATGTCGACTATAGAGATGGCTCGCACACTAAGTCACGTTACGTGTAACCACCATCCGTTGGTCGGACGTCATATCGGTCCTATAGCTATCTGCCGAGATGATACCGCTTCCCAAGCCACCTGCCATCTCACATTATCCACTCTTTTCCATCGTTTGCTTTCTCATCTTCGCACTCCTCAAACAAGCGCGATTTAATTGAAAATATCCGCAATGCCGACAAGCAGGCTATATAAAGTTCGCGCGCGCGTCTCGCGAGACTATAATATAGACTCTTGGCGACGGAAACGACGCACAGCGTCGCGCGACGATCTCGCGAACGATATGATTTAAAGGATACGATCTAGCGATACGATCACTCTGGCAGCGACGTCGCGTGCGGCGCGCGGGTCCGCGGCGCCTCTTTCATTTCGAGCTACCCTTCTAGTCTGACATCAAACAGTCCCGACGGTTGCGCCCACGAGTGAAGTTCATTCGTTAACGTCGTACGGAGTCAGTCTAACCGCCGTCGAGAACTCGTGGGCGATCGGCTGTGGTCGATGATAATACGTACGACGTCCACCACGTTCCTGCATTCGCGGGCGGTAGGTCGAATCCTCAGCAGCTAGGCGGGGACGGAGTTTAACGGACTCCCGATGCCGAAATTCTGGCTAAAATTCTAAACTGGCTCGCACAGGCGAACGTCTTTCTACTCTGTCCCGTTAACAGAACTACGCACCATATGGATTGCGTGCACATGTTTGATCTGCACTCGAGGCGGGCTGGTCGGGAATTTAGGTCTTATGTACAAATAAAAACGCACCAGTCCGTCTAAACCTTCCGTTTAAGTGCGATCTGCGCACATATTCGCTGAAATGACTCAGCTTCGTCTAAAGCACTCACAAAATTTCTCATAGGTCTCAACCGAGTTCAAGTGATGAGGCAACAACAGGGTTATGGCGTTCTCTATGAGCTCAGCAACCGAATGAATATAATCTGAAAGAATATTGTTTATCTATAACGCCGTGTAGAAGCTTCGCGTTTTGTTAAAATCGCCGCTAGGAGGCGATCGAAAAATGTTGCAGTCGATTGCAGAATTTCATGTCAACTGTCAATGACATCTTCTAGCTCAGACACAAAGCAAGTAGGGCGAGCGTTGATGGAAGCGTGGTTTTGACCGAATTATTTGCAACATGCATTAATAGGCGCACTGCCGATCGATACATTTATATCATCAGGAGTTAATAATGACAAAGGAGTATGACACCTCTTTGGTACTGATTTCACTACATTTTTGTCGTACGAGTTC